TATATACCTACAAGTTGAACTCAACACCCTGCATCATATATTTACAGTAATAGACCCTTATATATTTACTGATTGTTACAGAATTTATAAGTTGCAGTATCTTCTAAACCATTATTTACCATGTATATGCCTGCACTATAAAGGAACTTAAGAGACACAGTAACTTAGAGGTCAGACGTGGGAAATGGACCATGTATTTCATAAAATTATTCTTTCATATCCTGTTCTGGCTAGTGGTTAAATCCCACCACCCCATCTGTATAAAGATCAATAATTCATTAACTATTTCGAATTCTACTACATGGAAGGTAAATGTTTTATTTGCCCAACGTACATTCGCATATCCAGAGAAAATACTTCAAGATAGTTTCTAATGTTACAGCTAAATATTTCTAATGCTGTACTACTATCTAAGCCATTTCAAAAAATCTGCATGCCATTTTATAACTGCCTATTAGGGGGTTTTTAAAGCTTAAATTGTATTGGCTACCTCTCCTTTTATTTTACTATTTCACAAAATCCTTTTGTGTGACTGTCAAACATCTGTGTTTTGTTCCTTAATCTTCCTTGCACAGCTCCCCAGGAAAGACTTTACAACATAAACTGCAAAGTATCATTTTCACAGCAGGAACAACAGTGTTCCTCTTCAGAAAGAGGCATAATAAAAATAGGACTGTAATGAACATGCTAATTCTGGTCACAAGGTACTACATATAGCATGATGACTGAAAGTTCAGGAAGTTTGCCGGAAAGACACTTCTTTGGCTCTTCAAAGTTTTCTGATGCATTGTATCTTTGAGATAAACGTCTTTCCAGTGTATTGCACAGGTATTTTCTTCCTTTCCTTGTTTCTGTTCATTCCACTTTCAAAAGCCTGTTCTACTAGCAGCCCCCTGGCAACAATCACTGCGACTATACAGCAAACAGTTAAGTCAGATAAACACTGGTATACATTGTTTATACAGCTCCAGCTGGAACACAGCAAATTTCTCCTACCGTGCAGCTAATACCCAGAATATGTACAATCTTTCCTCCCATTCGTCTAGAAATGAGAGACATCCCACAGCACATTTTCCAACATTATAGCTGTGCCACTCCATTTGTCTAATTTCCATGTCCACAAAGATAGCTGTCCCAGATGACAGATTACTTCAAAATAGTTCCTTCTCATTTCAGTACTACTGGGTACAGTGAAAATACAGAAATGCACTTCTATTATCATCGAATCTATTGCTAGAAGCAGAAACAAAAAATGTAGCATCTTGGAGTCATCATTTCTGGGTTTTGGTTGTTTTTTTTTTTTTTTTGTTTGTCTGTTTTTTAAACAGTATGGAAATGTTCTATACTTCTGAGAGTCTAACAAAAATCAGGTCTCTCAATTATCTCAATCTCAATCTCTGTTAGCATCAATGGACAGGGAAACTCTGTTCAGTAAATATTTTACTTTTTGTTTTATGCAACAATGACTGTTTGACATTAAATCAATCAGTTTCTAAAAAGCATAAAAAGGAGTAACTGCCCTAGGCATTCCCATAGAAATTACACTTTAATTCTTCCACCCTTATACAGTGACCATGCTACAAAGGTGTTTTATGTCAGTATCTCCACAATGCACAGTATGATCAACAATAATAGAGAAAATTGTGGGCTGAGAAAACAAACTCCCTTCTGCTTAAGTGCTATGTGTAGTTTTGCTCTTTACATCCTAGACAGCAAAGAAAACCAATCAAGCAGCAGAGATGGTAGAATGTACGTAGGTATTCTGCTCCACAGGACATCTCTATCCTTGCTTAAAAACTGCACTCTTCTGTACTGTAAATGTATACCTTCTCAGAAGGCAGTTGAAGCTAAGTTTCTTGAGGTATTTATTGTCTTCACAGAATTTATCGAGGAATAATAATCAAAAAATCATTTAAAAAATCAAAAGCAGGATTCCTGAAAATTACTGGCATGGAATTATTACTGCTTTCTCTACTAGGAGGCACCTCATCTCCTCCTTTCTGAACGATTTATATACTTGCACATGACACCAGAATCCTTGTTCTATAAACATGAACAATATCTGTCATCCACCATTTGCAAGAACAAAAAAGAGTCAGCTGGCTTTAACAAAAAGTGAATGGACAATAAAAGGAAATCTATTCCATGTCTGATGTCTGCAGAGTATGGGAAGATCCTACACTTTACTACCTATTGAACACTGATCATTTTGAATTAGAGAATCAAAATACTGTTCATATGGTTCTCAGAACAAATTTGCAGAACAAAAAGCTTCAAAATAAATAGCATTGACTCATCTTGTCTGGAAGAAGACTTCCAGACTTCCTGTTTCAAGTCTTGTTTCTCTTAGAGCTTAGCATTTTCATGTGGGTGAATATGTCCTGGAAAACAGCTGCCTCCCTTATATACAGAAAATCAAAAAAAAAAAAAGCAGTTTCTATTTGTCTCAGACATTCACTCTTGGTTCCGATTGTCCCAATATGCACCCTAGAAAGTAGAAGTTTGCCTGGAACATTTATTGATTTACAGTGGTAACAAAGATCAGCCCCAATACTTTGTCTCCTCTAAGTCCTTGAAATGTTATAATCTGCAGCTCCCTTTTCTGCCGTTTTTCCTTCTCACATTGTGAAGTTTCTACACCCAGAAGCTAAAGGCGTCTTTTATATTCATAATTTTTTGAGACCCAAGTACTACAGATTGGTCATAGTGTAAGAATCTAACGAACAAGGTAAAATCTCCAGCTCTCCAGTGCACAGAATGACTGTTACACATTCTGGCTCTAGAAATAAGGATATATTGGCAAAAAGTTTTTTGTTCCGTGCTGCACAAATAATTTGTAGCAGCTAAATTGGATTTAGTGAAACAAGCAAACAAACAAAAATGAGTATAGGAAGATACTTCAACTTCTGGGAACATTCTAGTTTCACCAATGTCCCATACTAGGGTTGCAATACTTGTGGGTTGAACTGTGTTACCCACTCTGACTTACTCCGCAAGACACCCTGTTGCAAGAAGCACAAATATCAAGTTGGGTCTGTAACAGCACCATTATGGAAAGATCTGAAGAACATACAAAAGTTATGTGTGTATATTATGCAATCCATTATACACATGCCCCAGAGATGCGTAAAATCTAAGTGGACCAGAGATCCAACTCACTCCACTCTGTTTTGCATCTGATTATGTCTCTTAATTCCTGTTCACATTTATGATATATATTTATTCCTACAGCAGCTATGTGAGGCACAGAAGCACTCCTTCCCACAAAGACATAACCAGATGGAGTGTCTTCCACGAGGCTACTACTGAAGACTATAAAAGATGAAGTTTTGTGTAAGTTTGCAATGTAGAAGCTTATAATAGAATTACTTATCTTACAGGCTAATACCCTTAGTACTGAACTGTCCTTTATCTTGGAAAGCAATAGAGCAAGTTTTACTTACTTAGTACTTTCAGCACTTCAAAATTTTAACACTGCCAAAATTTCCTTAAAAGGTCCTGTTATTCTGCATGGTCCTTGCTTTCTCTGATGTTAGCCCTTTATCTAAATCTAGAGTCCCAGTATGCTCATGAGTTCTTGCATGTTCCCAGTTTCAGATGAAATTCGTAAATCAAAGTATATTGCAGCAGTTGCAAAAGTCATGGGCATTATGGCTGAAAACAACACACAATATTTCATATTTCATATTTTTATTTAGACAATTAGTTTTTAATTCAAATTTAGAAATTAAAATTATTTCAATTTTATCTTAAGTAACTAATAATGTACATCTTTTGTTCATCGGGAATTTGTAAATACATACCATTATGCATGGTTTTTAAAACAGGATCTGATGCTACAGTCTGAAGTCGCATCGAGCTACTTGAGTACGAAATAGGCAGCAGAGCCATATGCCTTACAAGAAATTGATTAAATAATGTGTACATAGTGTTAGTTGTCTCCAACAGTAATGCGAGGTCTGTCCATACCGAATAAAATAGCTAATAAAAATATAGAAATATTTCTTTTTTTTTTTCTTTTTTTGAATAAAAATCCAACTTCAGAGAAAAATAAACTTGTCACCCTATATTTGCTGGGATAGAAGGATCAAAAAAAAAATTTAAATCATATAATTTACATTTTTTTTCCCTAAATTCTGTAGAGCTGACTAATCATCTTCAACTCCTAGAAACAGGGCCCTAGCAGTTAATTCTGCAAAGCAAGTAATGCCATGTAGTATCACAATACAAGACAGTAATCTTCAGTCATAAAAGCAACCCTGCAAACTGATGAGTGTGATATTTCCTGAAGTGTCTCCAAAGCCAGTTTCCAGGTGACAGAATGAAACATTCAGGTCATTTGACTACTAGTATTTACTCCTCTCAGTATTATCTAGCCAGTAGACTTGGCAGTACATAAGTATCCTCAAGGATATTAAAAAAAAATAATTCATTTTTTTCCTTTACTGTCTACAAAAACTTCTTGTCAAAGTAAGAATACAATTCAAGTGATGTATATTTGAAATGGAAGAAGGCCTCCCCTTTTTTACACATTAAATCTTGAGGAGAAAATCTTGTAGCAGCTTAACCTCATCTAAAAACCATTTATGCAACTTTTTCAATGTGACTATTAATTGAGCAAATTTCTGTGTATATGGTGATCACACAGGTACCCAGGATAGCACTAAAACACAAAACAAATGCATTCATAAACCATATTTTTTGAGTGATAATTGATAAAATAACCTTTTATGCATAGCACCCCTGTATCACTTTTTCTTACTTCTTTCACTACAATCTGCCATACCCCACATACTCACACATTACCATTTCATGGTCAAAAATCATAAACACAATATTCAAGTATTACATGAAAAAGTTTGTATTCAGCATCGTCAGGGCTATAATAACTCCCATTTGAAAAGAACTGTACCTAACTTTCCTGGAGAGAAACTTCTCTTTTATAGTAACAGCACTTTCAGCTCTATGAAGTAAATTAGTTTTGTTTAGAAAGAACTTACCACGTAGAACAGTGAGTCTCGTGGACACACTTATTTCACCAACACTATTGGAAGCCACACATTCATAAATAGCTTCATCTCGTGGTGTGCGCAGTGGCTGTATTCTGAGAACTGATCCAGATCCATCATCAAACTCTATTACCTATAGAAGGAAACAAAAGCTGTCACAGATGTTGTTACAAATGCCTATCCCTCAGTTAATCTGTTCATGAACAGTGACCTCTTGGTATTCATGTTATCAAAGCCAGGTTTATTTTTCAAATGCATGTACCAGGACAAATTCCACACAGATGGGAGAATGTTTAAGTGTCAATGCCCTGTAACATACATTGCTGCTCAGTGAGTATTCCATGGCCACTCTCAGGTAGTTTCAAGAAAAGACAGGATGAAAAACAAACAACAAAAATTCTCCAGCTAACAAGGGCTGTAAGAAAGGATTCTGTAACTTAATGCTCTTTTATCCTGAAGTTCACCAGCAGTCTCCTATTCTCTTAGCTTAAGTACTCTGCCTTCAAATGCCAGTTACATTCATTTTAATTGCTGCAGGCTATATTCCCACTATACTCAGAGAGTGCAGTTCACTCTCTCATTTAGCTTCAAAGTGAAAAATGGTCAGCAGTTTCTGAACAAGATAGGACTAGTCAGTTTAGCTATGCATTTAACCCTCAGAGTGCAAGTAAATTTATCCAACAAGGTATTAGAAAATATGACCAGTTAAGAGACTAAATAATAAAGTTAAACCTTAAGGTTTATTTTTTAAATTGCAATATTTACACAAGAAATATTAGTTTTCATACAAGAAAGAATTAACTGAACTGCTCTTATTTCCTTGTTCTGCAGTCAGAATCACATCAGATACTGGTGAGTACTGCAGCACTCCAGGCACTGGAAAAGTCTTCCTAACAAGTAATAATATTATTCTATTTAATCTGCTTTTAAAAAAAAAAAAAATATTTGTCAATAATATATGTTAGCACTACCATCGGATAAGTGGCACTTCTCAAGAAAGGACAGTCACAATTTATTTTTTTTACAAAATAATAAATATTTGTCCATAATCTATATATACATGCACAAACCAATTTACATATATGCCTTTTTGCACATATATTTGTATATCTAATTCATACACAAGTAATCTGCTAGACCTCTACACTTGTTGAGAGTAAGAGAGAAATAAAGTACAGGACTAGGAACTATAGTTATATGACCATTATCTTCCCATTTTCATTGTAGGAATTTCTCAGTTTCTTCTTAGCAGTGGGAGAGGTCTTAGGTGGAAATAAGATAAAAACCTGTTTTTTTCTGAGAAGAAATTGGTTTGACAGTCCACAGGCTGTATTACTTTTCCTTGTTCTTTAAGCAAAGTCATTGTCCTAAACAAACCTAGACAACACCAAATATACATCTGATTTTAGCACAAACAAAAGAATAACTAAAATTCTTGATAAATTGACATTTTTGAGGGAAAGGAAAATTTCACAATCTTAAAGCAGACAGACTAATGATTTATAGGTAAAAAAATGATAGAACAGGATCCAAATAATCACAATCATTACACTTTAAAAGAATAATTTTTATTGTTTAAATCTGAACACTGAATAATCCTAGCTATATGCCCAATAAAAATAATTGCAGCAGATTGGATTGGACAAATTTTGCAGAGATAAAATTGCAAGTCTGGTGTCTCTAAATTATGTATCATAAAATGAATTTACTTTTCCTGTGATGAGTTCTCCCCTTTCCTGCATATCACAGATAGTTAACTCCTCCCACTTCCCCATCTAGTGAATGAGATTTAAAAAAATAATAACATTGATTATTGAGTAAAACCAGCCTCATGCCACAGGGTTGAATGGCATAATATTTTAAAATTGGTTGTTTTCACCTTCTCTGTTTCCAGTTCTTCTGAGAAAGACTTCTTAGTAACTTAAAGTAGATTTTTCTAACTCATGTTACTTGAATAATTTGAAGCAAGAAAAGAAAAAAGAATCTTCCTGTATCACATTCATTCGTAGTATATCATTTCAATATATATAAAATAGGAAAGTTTAAGAGTGATGTCCCACAAGGTCTTATTGTAGACTTTAATTTCAGAAACAATCTATAGCTCTCACCACTATTCTCACTCTGTGAGAATCAGCGTGTCAGCAAGCACATTCCATGTTCAATGATAAGATTCTTCAAATATATAAACAGGCCATTGTCAAGAGAGAAGGAATAAACTATTTGTTCCCCTGTTGCTAGATAAGTCAATTTGTATGTACAACAAATTCCAGCAAAAGAGTTCAAGTTCCACATGAGAAAAAATATATCATGACAAGGTTCATGGAACAGTGTAGGAGGTTGTCTGAGTTTATTGAAGGAAAAAAAAAAAAAATGTAACCCCCAGCATCCCTGGGAAAGCATGTGGATTAGGTGGCCCACTGAAGTCCTTTACAGGTGTATTTACTAGGCTTCTATGAAGACAGGTGGCCAGGTAAAACATCATTTTCATATCTTGTATTACTAAGTAATCAAACTCAGAGAAATATACAAAATATTAATGTGAAAGAAGAGGAAAAGAAGTCCAACTAGTTATTCTCTTATTGGTGCAGCTGACAAGCTCAGAATCTGTTTCACATTTCCCTAATGTGCCATGTGTCTTTTCTGAATCTTATCTCTACTGTTCTGGTTTTATTTTGAGATTATAGGGCATGTATTAATGGCCTTACTTTGGACAGGAAGGAAAGATGCTTAAAATATTGATGTGCTCTGGACACTTTATAACTATTCTGCTCAGCGGTTATAATAAAAGTTATAAAATGCTTCATGACTGTTTTCTATTTCTTTGACTTACATTCCATCTTACTTGGCTATGCAGCATGTTCAACAGTCCACTAAAGGCATCTTTAAAACATTTTAAATTAATTTTTTATATTCCTCTCAAATATTTTTTTATGGTAATAAAATTGTTTTATTTTTGCTTATTTTCCCTAGAAACAGGTACATAGGTACACAGAAAACAATATATGAGGCAAATAAACCATGACATATTGCAAAATAAAACTGAATCAACACAGCAAAAATGTACATGCCCAATCGTTCACTGTTTAGAGCTCACCTCAAGTGAAAACTTTGTGACCAGAAGGAGATATATTGTGTAGAGTTTATAATAAAAATTCTATGTTAGTCCCTCTAGCCAATTACAGATCTGTATATGCTCTGCAAATTGCAAACAGTTCTTGGTGCTAAGAGGTCACATTTAAATTCATGCGTTTGTTTGTTACACTGTAGTAAATACACAAGCAAAGAATTATACTGGTTAATGAACAACTTCCAATACCTTAAAATATTTTTTGAAGAAAAAGGAATGAACAAAATTTAGTTTATACTAGAAACTTAATTATTTTCTGCTGACGTAAATCTAGCCTGAAAGCGAGGGCAAGCAATCTTCCCAAATATGACCAAAAATTAACATAGAAGACTTCAATATTCAGTCAGCTTTTAATACGTATATCTTAGATAATTTACACATAAAATTAATGTCACAACTGTTTTATATACAAACTAGTCACCTTCCAAACAGTTGTTTTCTTAATGCAGAAGTCTCTTATTTAACATCAAAAATAGTGAAGAGACACAGTGAAAATGATACACTCTTAGTGCCACTTTTGGTATCCATTCTACAAGACTTCTCCCACTTTCTAAGTTTTTTCTTCACGGTAAAAGTTAATCCATACTTGATACTAAGTGTTCCTGCCACTAAAAGAGAGAATAATATTTGTTGTTTTATTTCCCCCGAATAGCCAGTATCCTTTGAACAGATTATCCTTAATGTTTCCTTTAATTGAAGGTTGTGGAGAGAGGAAATGGCTTTCTCTAAAGCCTTTTCCTAGGTTATTGTTAAGAAAATAATCAAAAGCAAACAAGTTCTAAATTTCATCTTCAGCAGCAGGAACTACAATGTCCCTTTTATCTCCCTCTGTAACAGTGCTAAGCAATTGTGGCAGCAGAAGCAGTAGCAGCCTAGGTCTGTTTGATGAACACTGTCACAAAAGGAGGTGACTTGCTCTCTGGAGTACAGCAATCACTGCTCAAATAATTTTCTCCCATCTCCTTCACGGAAAAGATAGCAGGATGAACAGAAGCATGCCAAAGCTCCCCATTTAGATCATGATAGTTTAGAAAACAGCAGTAGCAGTCTTCTCTTTAACAGTGCTATGCATAACCAGTTTGCAAAATAAATAACTCACAAAACTCCTTTCACTAAAGTATCCCTGACAGTCATAGATATTTTGCTTAATCGCTGATAATAAAGCACACACTGTGATTAGAAGTGAGGTTGGAATTAATGTTTTTCAGAGGAACAGAACAATGGACCTAATACCTCAAATCTCTGATTGCTGACTTTCTTTCCCTTTTTGTTCCAGACAATTTTAGGTCTTGGATCTCCCGTAGCTTGACAGATGAATGAGGCAACTCCTCCAGAAACCCCTGTCTGGTCAACAGGAGTTCTTGTAAACTTTGGTGGTGCTGAAACAAACAAACAAATAACAAAATTAAGCTAAGTAGTAAACATAAAAAATTAGCCATGTCAAGATTTCAAAATGAAAAAAGAATGAAATTTTTTATTTCTCCAGTGACAGTATTCACCTGCAAGAGAAGACATTAAAAAAAATAACGAAAAGATTGGGAAAGTACTTACAGATTTTACTAGTGAAATTTACATTAAAACAGAAATCTGATAGCATCAGAATAGCAAGATCACACATTATATTTTATCACCATTATAAATAGAAATTCCAATTTGTCTTCTGTTCCACAATGAGCTCATCAATCAGCTGGAATAAGATCATGACTCATGACTTGATGTAATGATCACAGGATGTCATGAAAACAGGATTCCCAGCTTTCAGTCATTAAAATCAGTGACATTTAGGAGAAAGCATTTGTAACTTTGCAGTGTTGGATGTAAATGACTATGTATTGAGAGTCCACACAGAAAAAACTGTAACAGAAGAGAGATTTATTATTGTGCAGTTTCACACATAGCTCCTGTCCACTCCCAAATTATTTTACTCAGTCGGAAAGAAGAAGTGAAAAAAGATCCAACTGTTGTAACAACAGGAAAGGAGTAAGAAATGGAGAATTAATTTTTAAAAATCCATTTTAAAATGCTTTTAATGGCATTTTAATTAATTACTATCTTTCCTTCTATTTCTGTTACAACACAATTAAATTTTATTTATCAGCCTTACGATGAAACAAAACATTCAAACTTACACCAACACAAGACATGACTTCTAAACAATTAATATAAAAATCTATGAATTATGTCTAACCACAATACAGAAATGTTGAAAAGCTCCTGTAAATATTTACATCATTCACTTCCTTAGCTGAGAAAGTTTTAGAGATCCAATACACTTTACGGTGTTGATTTGAATGATATAAAGTGAATACTTCAGACTAAAAATGATAAAAAGTACAAGTCTTTGCTATATGGTCTTTCTTAGTTTTAAGTTGTTATACATAGCTGCTCTGTTACAGCTGTTGCAATTCATTTTTGCTCTCATCTTAAACTTTCAGCAGCAGTCAGCTCCTTTCTGTTCTCAACCTTTTCACTCTTCCATTGTCTCTCTTACTTCTGACAGTTACATACCTGTACTGTACTAGAATTAATTTCTAAGTTGCTGCTCTTCATTTCTGATGTCTAACCCCTCATTCTGCTGAACTGGTCTTTCCACAGGCAATACTTCTTGTCAGCATGTTTATTTAAATGTCAGAAACTCAGCAGGCTACAAGTATGTATGTACGTAACTCTGGAAGAAATCCTGAAATATTTAAAATGCCAATAAAATATGCTGTGGCCATTATTATAAAACAAGCTCAAAGAACTTATGAAAGAACTTCTTTAACATCAAAAAATTTCCAAAACCATGGCAAATAAAACACTCTTAGAGCAAAGAAACTAAAACTCCCTTCCAAAACACAGGCTTTAGTCCTGTTTCACCAAAACTACTATATTTGAATCATCTTCTATGCATTTATTAACTCAGCACTCCGATATGTAGAGTGACACAACTGAATCTGATGTGTTGATTTGCTGTGGCACAAATTGTGCTTATATGCCATCAAGTGGAAAATGATGCGCTGACATTCTCTTTTTCTATTTTTTGACATTTTCTGAATTCAGTGTTGAACCTCAAGCCAACAAAAGAAAAACACTGTGTGGGCAAGTCCATCAGCACACAGTAACTATGTATAGTAGCTCATAGGCAGCTTTTAAATTCTAAATTTATGCCTCACTCATACATTCAGTGACTGCTCAAATGATAATTTCAACATCAATAAACTAAGTTACTTCCTCTAGACAAGGTCTGTTTTGGAAATTTGCCAATTTTGCCATGCATTACAAGGGTTAAGGAGGGAAAGCAACTCAATTTTTAAGTGCCATGTTATGCATTCATTCCCGCAACACTTAACTATCTTGGGACCAGGAAAAAATGCACATTTTTAAACAAGAAACAAAACGAAAGCAACAAAAAATTATATGTAAAGACAATGTTGAATTATGTGAAATTAGCTCTGAAAAAAAAAGCCCAAAACAAAACAAAAACAACAAACAAACAACTAAATATGTCAATGATCAGCTGGAGCGCATGAAGCTCTGCCTGGGGTGGGTGAGGAGCTGAGAGAGAGATTATGGGTCAGCATTAAAGGGAGGAAAGGGACAGGTGACATTATAGTGGGTGGGGATCAACTACAGGCCATCCAACCAGGAAGACAGAGCAGATGAGGCCCTCTATAGACAGATAGGAGCAGTCTCCTGTTCACAAGCCCTGGTCCTTGTGAGGGACTTCAACCACCTCAATACCTGTTGGAGGCACAGCAGGGCAAAAGCAATCCATGAGGTTCCCGGCATACATTCCTAACTTCCCTCTCCAAGTGAGAGAGGCACCAACTAGGAGAGGTGCTATGGTGGACCTTGCTCTCACCGAGAAGGAGGGGCTAGTGGTGAGTGTGAAGATCAAGGGCAGCCTTGGCTGCAGTTGCCATGAAATGGTGGAGTTCAAGATCCTTAGGGCAGCAAGGAGGGCACACAGCAAGCTCACTACCCTGGATATCAGGAGAGCAGACTTTGGCCTCTTCAGGGATCTGCTTGACAGAGTAATAAGGGATGAAGCCCTGGAGACAAGATGGGCCCAAGAAAGCTGGTTGATATTGAAGGATCACATCCTCCAAGCTAAGGAGCAATGCACCCTGACAAAGAGGAAGTCAGGTAAGAACACCAGGAGGCCTGCATGGATGAACAAGGAGCTCCCAGACAAACTCAAACATAAAAGGGAAGACTACTGAAGGTGGAAGCAAGGACAGATAGCCTAGGAGCAACACAGAGAACCTGTCTGAGCAGCCGGGAATCACATCAGGAGGACCAAAGCCCTAACAGAATTATATCTGGCCAGGGACACCAAGGGCAACAAAAAAACTTTTACAGATACATTGGTGATAAAAGGATGACTAGGGAAAATGTGGGCCCTGTGGAAGGAAAAGGTAGATTTGGTCACCCGGCATTTGGTGAAGGCTGAGATACTCAATGACTTTTTTGTCTCAGCCTTCACTGGAAAAGGCTCCAGCCACGCTACCCAAGATGCAGACGGTAAACGTGGGGACTGTAGGAGAATATCATGTTTGAGACCATCTGAGGAACCTGAAGGTTCCTGAGGAAACTGGTGGATGAAATGACTAAGAAACTATCCATCACATTTGAGAAGTCATGGCAGTCCAGTGAATTTCCCACTGACTGGAAGAGGGGAAACATAATGCCCATTTTTAAAAAGGGAATAAAGGAAGACTCAAGTAACTACAGGCCAGTCAGTCTCGCTTCTGTGGCTCAAAAGAACATGGAGTGGATATTCCTGGAAAATATGCTACAGCACATGGAAAATAAGGAGGTGATTGGTGACAGCCAACATGGCTTCACTAAGTGAAAATCATGCCTGACAAATTTGGTGGCCTTTTATGTCCACTGGCCTTGAACAATGGTGGACAAGGGAAGAGCAACTTATGTAATTTACCTGGACTTGTGCAAAGCATGTGACACAGTCCCACACAACATCCTTGTCTCTAAATTGGAGAAACATGGATTTGACAGATGGACCACTTGGTGGATAAGGAATTGGCTGGATGGTTGCACTCAAAGAGTTGCAGTCAATGGCTTGAAGTCCAAGTGGAGACCAGTGACAAGTGGCATTCCTCAGGGGTCAGTATTGGGTCCAGCACTGTTTAACATCTTTGTTGGTGAAATGGACAGTGGGACTGAGGGCATCCTCAGCAAGCTTACTGATGACACTGAGCTGAGTGCTGCAGTCAACACACTGGAGGAAAGGGATGCCACCCAGAGGGACCTTGACAGGCTTGAGAGGTGGAGCCATGCAAGCCTCATGAAGTTCAACAAGGGCAAGTGCAAGGTCCTGCACGTGGGGCAAGGCAATCCTAAGCACACATACAGGCTAGGCAATGAATGTATTGAGAGCAGCTCTGCAGCGGACTTGAGGGCATTAGTGGATGGAAAACTGACTATGAGCCAGCAATGTGAGCTCACAGCCCAGAAAGCCAACCATATCCTGGTCTGCATCAAGAGAAGTGTGGCCAGCAGGTCAAGGGAGGAGATTCTCCTCCTCTACTCTGCTCTCATGAGACCCCACCTGGAGTACTGTGTCCAGCTCTGGGGCCCGCACTATAAGAAAGACATAGACCTGCCTGAGCAGGGCTGGAGCACCTTCATTATGAGGACAGGCTGAGAGAGTTGGGGCTGTTCAGCCTGGAGAAGAGAAGGCTCCAAGGAGACCTTACAGCAGCCTTCCAGTACTTAAAGGGGGGCCTACAGGAAAGCTGGGGAGGGACTCTTTATCAGGGATTGTAGTGTTAGGACAAGGGGTAATGGTTTTAAACTGAAAGAGGGTAGATTTAGATATTAGGAAGAAAATCTTTCCTGTGAGGGTGGTGAGGCACTCGCACAGGTTGCCCAGAGAAGCTGTGGCTGCCCCCTCCCTGGAAGTGTTCAAGGCCAGGTTGGATGGGGATTTGAGCAACCTGGTCTAGTGGAAGGTGTCCCTGCCTGTGGCAGAGGGGTTGGAACTAGATTATGTTTAATGTCCTTCCAACCCAAACCATTCTATGACTCTGTGATGATTCTAGGATTCTAACCAACCAACAAAAAACCCCCACCATATTCTACTATTAGATTATATGTTACCTCCAGTTACCATGTTAACTATGGTTGGCATGCTTTTATTACTAGGCAATATATTGTATTAATAACAACTATAATAATAATAAAAAAAGATAAATAGAAGGAAATCCCCTCCCTCCTTATCAGATATTCAGAGACGAATTCTTATTTAGTGCCGTTCAGGTAAACACAAGAGAGCTTGCACTAATTTATACCATATGACAATTTACCTTTACCATTGATGCTGAACACAAAAGAAATAAAATCCCCTCCATCTCCAACACTCTGCAAACTGCAA